GACGTTTTCTATTTTAATATATTTTGAAATGTAATTTATTCCTTTGACGCAAAGCTGAGTTTTCAGAAGCCATTACTCCAGTCTTCAGTGTCACATTATCCTTCAGAAATCATTCTTATATGCTGATTAGAATTCATTATTTACACAAAAAGGACGAAAATGTATTTCCGTATTCGATGGAACACGAAATGAGATGTTTTGAAGAATGTTCGTGCTGCTCTTTTCATTTTCATGCGGCTTACTGTGACCATATGAAATATTTTCTGTATGACGTTGTTTATCAGGGTACGTAAGATTCTTAACTTGCGTCTGTTTGAGGATGAGAGCGGCCGTGCCTGGAGCAGCAGCGTGATGGACAGAGAGCTGGAGGTGTTGTGTGTGAGTCAGTTCACTCTGCAGTGTATCCTCAAGGGAAATAAGCCTGATTTCCACTCTGCCATGCCGGCTGAACTGGCCCAGCCCTTCTACAACAACATGCTGGAGCAGCTGAGGGAAGCCTATAAACCAGAACTCATCAAAGGTGAGGTTAAACCAGCCAACTGTTGAAGGTTTCATTCGTCTGATTAGGATCTGCTCATCGTTTAAAGGGGTCATATGATGCGATTTCAATTTTCTCCTTTCTCTTTGGAGTGTTACAAGCTCTTGGTGCATAAAGAAGATCTGTAAAGTTGCAAAGACTAAAGCTGCATTAAATGGATAGTTTATCCAAAAATGACATTTTTACTCGCTCGTTATTTACTCACTTATGTCGTTCCAAACTTTTTGAAGAATGTTTCCAGTGTTTTATGTGGGTTAGTGGTGAGTTTGTGACAATTTTCATTTTTGGCCGAACTATTAGTCCCTGATACATTAATCAAACGGTAGTTCAGAAATGTACATTTTTACTATGCAGTGAGAGATGAATAGTAAGCTAGAATAGTGGTTCTCCAATTAAAACATTTAATTAATAAATAACTTATTATATTTAAGAATTGTATTACTTGTATTAAAATTACTAAATTAATATGTATCAGCCAACGTGTTATTAACGGAAATAAATGGAATCATTTGCTTAAGTAGATTTTTTTTCTGTATGTATAAATAATGTTTAATATTAATGTTATATATAAGTGTCTTTTAATATAAAACACTAAATAAAGTATTCTACTTTAAATAGTTTTTTGACAATTTAGTTTAATAATTGAATACCTGATGACAGACAAAACAGAATCCCAGTAAAAGAGATTCATCTGAAAGGTGCATTTTTTACATGACTTATATACAGGCCTATGAAGATTTACACATTTACTTCTTATAAAATTACTAAATTAACATATAATTAAAAATATTTTATATACTTGAACTTAATTGAAATGCTAAAAACATTGATTTTTTTTTTTCACAAGGCTAGAGTGTTGGTTTTAATTCATACAGCTTGTATTGTGTTGTAGATGGGCAGTTTGGTGCAAAAATGCAGGTACTCATTCAAAACGATGGACCTGTGACCATTCATCTGGAGTCTCCTGCTGGCCCAACAGACCCTAAACTGGTATCCAGCTTTGATTTGCAATGAAATACATGCCTTAAAATTATCTTCTACAGAAACTGTAAATTCGTTAGTTCTGATTACTGCATGAATTGTTTTGGGACTCTATAAACCCATTAATCTGTTTGCCTCTCCTCTACTTCAGCTGTCTAAACAAGAGAAGCAACAGCAGCGGAAAGAAAAAACACGGTCAAAAGGCCCCTCCGAGTCCAGCAGAGAGAAGGCAGCGCTGCGCTCGAAAGCAGACCCCAGCGTTAGCAGTGGAGCAGAGGGAGATGTGTCCTCTGAACGGGAATCATAGAGTACTTCACGGTACACTTACAACCACAGTCATACCTCTAGTCTCTTATTTATCATAATTCAGTGATTGATACATTTATATATGCATTTTTTATTGTTATTGAATCAAGCTCCAGGGGTTATTCTTTGGAGATTGACACCAAATAGCACAGTCTGCTCATTGTATTTCTTTTTTTATTTTATTTTTAAAGGTTTTTGCAACTTGCAGATCAGTCCAGCTTCCAATGGAATGCTGCTGTCTTCAGGAATGTCTCTCAGTGCAGCTCATCCCGCTTATTACTGTCCCTATCAAATGTCCAATATAGTGCCCAGTCTGATTTTCTTCTGAAACTTGGATTGTATGTAAACACAAGAACAAGCGGCAGCTCCACAATTACCAGTAGAAATAACGACTCAGGCACATATCTGTAGTATTTTAGCACCACTTTAAACACAATATCTGAATATTTACTATGCCATCTAATTTATTTAAATGTATACATCTCTGTGATGTGTTTTATTAAAAACAGAAAAGAAAATGCTTGTAATTGTTACTTATTGAATAGCTGGAAAGTAGTATTGTTCTTTTTATATAATGCCATCATATTTAAAGATGTTGTTTAGATCTACAAATCTGAATCATTATTCGTGTATATATATATATATTTTCTATTACTAGAGAGCTAGTGCCAGTCATTAGGGACCTAATTTGGAATTTAAGTCACACTTGAGTTTATAATCTTATAATACAGTGTTAGTGACCAACTAACAAAAGGACAAAGGAGCTTTTGAGAGGTAACCTGCTTTATTGCATTGGACTGTAAGTAGAAAAAAAGCAAAGAGGATTATTCCTAAATGTGAAAAACGGATGTGTACCTGCCCAATTTAATGAAGGAAGAAAAGAAAAAAAAACATAATGATTAAATTACAGGATATTGTCCAGTATGAGAATTAGTTAACAGATAACTGATAAGGTGGGGGTGGTGTAAATTTTCATACATGCTTTCGAGAAATAGTTTTTTTTTTTTTTTCCTTCATTAATGCTGCATAATAACATAAAATATTTAAATATAAATTTAATGTATTTTATGTATTTATTTTAATTTGGCAAAATTTAATGGCATTCTTTATTATAATCATTTCTTGTGTGAGTTTCAGAACTCAAAACTCTCTCATCAGTCTAAAAACAGCTTATATTGAAGTCAATCTGCTAAAACGACAGGTTGTGGAATGTGCCACTTTGTGACGTAATGTGTGCCTAATCTCCGCCTCCGCAGAAGAAGATCAACGCCTGCTTCTACATCACTGCCTGTTTCTGTCAGGCTTCTGATTGGCCAACATGGCTTTACGGTTGAGGTTATATCGCCACCTGTTGACTTGGCATGCTTTTGGCAGTGCTTCATAGCATGCTTTTGCGTTTTCATGTGGACGGAGATTTTTTTTTAAACGGAAGAAGGAAAAACTCTGTTTATAAAAATACCCGTGTACGTGTGGACATGGCCTATAATAATAACGGTAGAGAGACAAATGCAGCTCTATGCAGAAACCAAATGATAAAGATGATCCGAAAACAACAAGACGATGTACAGTGCCAAGTTGTGGAAAAACACCGGATGAACTTTATTTTTAAGACCACGTCAGTAAGAACTCGGTCCTTTGTTCACTTCATTTTACCGCGGATTCGTTTGCAAACAAAGCACAATTCGACAGGATTTTCAGAAATATTGAAACTAAAAGACAATGCTGTGCCTATAGGACTATATTGGATGGATCCGACAGTAATGTCGCACCACACAAGTGTGAGTAACTGTTTTTATTATGTGGTCACTATTGCTTTGTCTGTTATTACAGGTCATTTGATATGTACTGAGTATTTATGCGTTTTTAACCTAAATCACAGCAGCATCCATCTATGAAGGATTAAGGCTGTCAAACATACGCAACTGTTAGCCAATCATAGCAGTGGGCGTTTACAGGGTGAAGATTTTCAAAAACTCCGGTTGCAGTGTTATTGTGTAGACAGCGAAACCGGAGATTTTGGCTTGTGACGTCGGAGCATGCGCTGTTATCTCCGCCTACTGGAAACTCTGTCAGGCTTCTGATTGGCCAACATGGCTTTACGGTTGAGGTTATATCGCCACCTGTTGACTTGGCATGCTTTTGGCAGTGCTTCATAGCATGCTTTTGCGTTTTCATGTGGACGGAGATTTTTTTTTAAACGGAAGAAGGAAAAACTCTGTTTATAAAAATACCCGTGTACGTGTGGACATGGCCTATAATAATAACGGTAGAGAGACAAATGCAGCTCTATGCAGAAACCAAATGATAAAGATGCTCCGAAAACAACAAGACGATGTACAGTGCCAAGTTGTGGAAAAACACCGGATGAACTTTATTTTTAAGACCACGTCAGTAAGAACTCGGTCCTTTGTTCACTTCATTTTACCGCGGATTCGTTTGCAAACAAAGCACAATTCGACAGGATTTTCAGAAATATTGAAACTAAAAGACAATGCTGTGCCTATAGGACTATATTGGATGGATCCGACAGTAATGTCGCACCACACAAGTGTGAGTAACTGTTTTTATTATGTGGTCACTATTGCTTTGTCTGTTATTACAGGTCATTTGATATGTACTGAGTATTTATGCGTTTTTAACCTAAATCACAGCAGCATCCATCTATGAAGGATTAAGGCTGTCAAACATACGCAACTGTTAGCCAATCATAGCAGTGGGCGTTTACATCCGAGTCTACAATCTGCCAAGCCTATTCAAACAGGAGCATTCTGATGAGGGGGTCAAAACAGAACAGAAAATAGCCTATTCTAAATTATGTGAAGATGTAAAAATCTTGATAACATTATAAGTGGACCTCAGAGAACAATACAAAATAATAACTTTAAAAAAAAAAAAGTTCATGACCCCTTTAAGAACAGCACAGTCTGAGAAAAGGGCTATTTCGTCATCATAACAAGTCAGTGTTAGCATATTAAGCAACCAAGGAAGTTGAATGAAGTTTAGCCTCTTTAATTATTCTTTTCAACTTATCCCCCCAATTTATTTACCATATTTAATAATTATTCTATCAAATTATTTGCATGCCTTTACCACCAGTGACGTGCGGCGTCGGTCATGTGATCATGTGACCGCAGCTTTTTGGTGTGACGCGCTTGTGTTAAACTCAGATAGTAGCAGAATCACTGGACTGTCATTACTGTAGACACATGTGCTGGCAGGACTCGCTTTAAATACAGCCGATTTCGTCTGCTGGAGAGGAGCACTCATAGGTAGGCCTATGTAATATCAATTTTCTTTTATAATAGTATTGCATAATTAGTTGTTAAGAGTGACATTTTTTTCAGTTCGCATTGGGCTTGTTTGTTCTATTTAAACGCTATTCTGTGTCTCTGTTATTTTATAGACGCATTAATCCTCTTTTTCAACACTGTAATTTATTTATTCTTAAACTAGTGTTTAGACCTTCAAGCTGCAACTTATTCATATTTCGTCATATTTACTTATAGTTTACATGCATAACACGATATACAATCAAACTTTACGGAAAGTTGGAGGAAGATGCGTTCGACATGTGCCGGATGATAATTGTGTTATAATTATAATAGAAATAAATATAAATTTTTGCTAATTACTTGTCAGCAAATGTAAAATAAATTCCTCTCTAGGCAAGTAAATGCACACACACACACACATATATATATATATATATATATATATATATATATATATCACATACAATATAATTTTTATAAA